CTGGGACATTTTATGCCCCCTCTTAGTAGACTGTTGGAATGAAACTGACTTCAGATCTCAAATATCATAACAACTTAATCCACTTTAGGATCACAGAATCCCAATGTTTGTTCTGATTTCCAGCACCCTGATGTTTCAGCTTACACATCTGCCCCATTGGGGAGTTCACCATCTTCTAAAGTGGTTGGCAAGTTTTCTCCAGAGTCAAGCCCCAGCCTGTCTCTTGTGATGCCTTTTACAAGCTACAAGAGGCAGCTCATTTTGGATAGGTCTGGTTGCAGACCCTTCTAGTCATCTGAGGCCATAGTCCAGAGAGGCAGGGGACACCCATGTCCTGTGGCTACCTGGCTCTGAACTCTCAGAACCACACAGACCACACTGGCTGGACAGAAGAGTCCTTAAGTAGGCTAGTGTCATCCAATGATGTTGAGGAGGCAAGCCCTGACTGACCACAGCAGGGACAGAGCTCCTGCACGCCCCTCCCCTCCCCAAGCCTGGTTTTTTTGGTACCATCCAGTACTTACCTTTGGTGTAAGCAGAACTTGAGCCAAGTGTGTGATTCTCCAGGATCGGCAGCCTGTTAATGCCTGGGGGCACTGAGCAGCAGGGACAACCTGGCACCTGGTGGGACAAGTCCAACTCCAAAACCCAAGGGTAGAATCTCAGAGACATGGGCCCTATAGTTCCCCTGTTTCAAACCTGACATCATTGAGAGCTGACATAGGGACCGGGGAAGCCTTTCCCTTTCTGACCTCAGTTTCCTCTCCAGAGAGGCTAGGGAACTAGAAGACTCAACAAGTCAGACTTCAGGAGGCCCAGAGGCGCTCCAAAGCCTAGTCTTGGCCTGCCTCTGGCACTCAGAGCGAAGTCACGTCTGTTCTGCCCAATGAACAATTCAGAGGAAAGGCACAAAGTGCCCCCTTCCTGGTTGTCCTACCCTTCCTGCTCAGGTAGCATTTATTGTGTCACCTGGTAATTTTCTGCGGTGTCTGGGATCTCCAGGGAGTTGGGAGAGAAGCCCAGTCCTAGCCACATCCTGGTCCTCCCATCACATGCCATAGTCTGCAGGAAGGCCAACTCAGTTCTGTCTCAGTCTCCTGGACCACAAGCCAAGCAGTCCTGTTCACCCACCACTCCCCTGTGACTTTACTGGTACCCAAACCAAACCGCCCAGCACTTTCCATACACACCACGCTCAGATTCCCCACGCTTCCAGAGCCCCCTTCCTTTGCGGCAGTTCCTCTGCTTCTCTTACCTCTTGGATGCTGAACTAATACATTATTCATACAGATGCCAAGTCTGAGCCACTGGCTGTGTCAGGTGCCCAAGGTCAGCATGTCCAAACCTGAGCAAGTAACTGCCCTCCTCAGACCTCTACCAGCCACAAAAGCCAGAGTCTGGCCCCTCAGAGGCCTCCACTGGTCCTTTCTAATTGGTGCTATCTGTGACCTCCTCCAAGCCACACCTAACACCCTCCCCCACCAGCCCCTATGGGCCACTCCTATCACCTGGTGACGCCCAGTCATAGGTTGTAATGTGGCTGTTTCTCTAATGGAACTCCAGTGTTGTTCAACATGTAAACTGGAACACTTTCCTCTTCCCCTGGAAAACCTTTCAAAGGCCCCCATTTGCCCTGCAGAGAAATTCTTGCCTTGCTGGTGCCTGCCCTGCCTCCTCTCTGCACTCAGTGCTCTTGCCAGGACATTTTACAGGCTACTACCTTGGCCCATTCTTCCTTCATACCCCCTATTTCAACACCACCGTCCTTAACCTTTATTTGCACCCAACTCTGTAGGCAAGCTGCCACTCCTACTTCCTCTGCCATAGTCTGGGCAGCATTCACAGCACCCAGTAATCGTTCCTGAATGGATTTATGCTAGTGGAGGGTGGATGGGTGGGCTCATTGTAAAGCCATAAAGAGGGGCTAGGTGCGGCTCAAAGGTAAGATGGTCGCCAAGTATGCAAAGAACCCTGGACTCAACTATCAGCACTAAAAGAAGAAAAGAAATGCCACAGATGATTAATTTTGCCATGCCAGCTCCTTTATTCATGTCTCTAATCCTACAATGCCTTTGTCATTTTACAGACAAAGAAACTGAGGTTTGCAGAGGTTTCTGTGGTGTGTTGTTTTCCCTACCACCAAGCTCATGCCCACTACTAGGGAGCTCAGATCATGACCTTATTTAGAAATAGAGGCTTCACAAGATAATTGGTTAAGATGAGATCATATTGGATTAGGGTAGGCCCTAAATGCAGTAATTAGTGGTCTTACAAGATGGCCATTTGAGCAGTTTGCATGTGAAGATGGAAGCTGAGATTTGAGTGACAAGTACAAGCCAAACAGCCCCAAGGACTGCTGGGGGAAAAAGCTTGGAAGGAGAGAAGGCAAAGAATGATCTGGTACCATACCCTTTGAGGAAGCATGGCTCTGCTAACATTAGGATTCTAGGCTTCTAACACCAGAACTTGGCTGTTTTAAGCCATTGAACTTGCTGCAATTGGTTGCAGTAACCTCAGGAAAGTAATGGTCCACCCTGCATTGTCTATGGCTATACAAACAGTAAACAGCCAGCAGGGAGTCTGAATCCTTTCTGTTGCCTCCTTTACCTCCTCCAGGGCAGAGAACCCATCCCTGATAGAGTAAACTCAGGGAAACCATCTCTGTAGAGGACCTGTCCTTCCCCACAGTAAAGGCTTTAAGACCATTCTGTGACTAGACATTGGGGCTCAAGTCTGTAATCATAGCACTTTGGAGGTGGACAGAGGAAGATCAGGAGTTCAAGGCCATCCTCAGCCAACATAACTGAGACCAGCCTAAGTTATATGAAACTCTATCTCAAAAAACAAACCAACAACAAAGATTGTATCCTTTGTCATGGTTACCAGCAAGCTCAGCTTGATTGAGATCACATGATTTATTGCTGAGATCGGGGATTGTATGATTTATTGCCAAGATAAAAGCCTTGATTTAGAGAGTGTGTGTGTGTGTGTGTGTGTGTGTGTGTGTGCTTTCTCACTGGATGGATGGAGGAAGAGCCCAGAGGTGGGACTGGTTCAGTTCCATGCTCTTCTGTAACCCGGATTCCTGTCCACTCCTAGTGGGTTACCACATGTGTAGTTAAGGGTTTAGAACAACCACGGTGTAACTCCTGCTGAAACTTAACATCAGGCACTTCCCACTTGGGCCTCAAATGTCCCCATCAAGGCCTGAAGTCTTCCCTTTCATACTCACTGCCTCACATTTTTGTGCCCCTGTGGGCTTTGTAAGGGTGACAAAGCTGTCCTGAAGGACCCAGGTCAGACCCCTATGCCCTACATTATTCCTAAAGATGGAGTTGGTGGCTTTAGAGTCTGCCTCACCATAGGATTGCCACAAATCTGCTGCCCAGGATAACTCCAGGGAGAAGGGCCACAGCCTTCAGTATACATGGAGACAGGTGAGGTGGAAAGATAACCCCACTCCTGAGGGGACAGCCCTGTCTATGGGGGCTCTTGTCAAAGTCAGGTTAAGCCAGAAACAGTGCCCAAGAGCCAACTCCCATAGGCACCCAGACAGCGGGCTAAGGAAAGCACACCCAGGGATCTGGGGCCAGATACCAAACTTCCTCTTTTTCTGGAAAAAGTTCTTTAGGAATCTCTTGGCTAGAGAGGGTTACGGGGGGGGGGGGGAGCAGTTCTCTACCTGCCACAGGACTCAGCCACTGCCCAGCTTGTTCCTTTCTAATGTTGTGCTCAGCCCTCCATCCTTTCTCCTCCCCCCTTGGCTCTCACCTTCATTTTCTCATGCTCCAAGGTAGGATACTTAGCCCTGGCTTGGCCTCTGGAAATGGCATGGTCAGGATCTGGGAGGCATCCAGGTCTGTTTCCAGCCCTGAGGGTGCAGGGAGGAAGAGAAAGGGAGAGCGCTTACCTGGCCTCCAGCTCCGGGCAAGGGGTCTGAGAAGTGCCTGGGACACTTGGACTGCTGGGCAAAGCTCTGGCTTTCATACACTGTCAATTCAGCAACAGCCTTGGCCCTAGGGGAGGGCAGGCTGGGTAGTCATGCAGGTTTGCCAGGGAGGAAACCTGTCGTGCCAAGGTGGCCCTAGGACAATACTGCTGCAGAGGAGGGGACGGGAGGATGCTGGGGAAAAGGAAGCCTAGGAATTGGCTAAAAGTGGTTAGGGGGTATCTGTGAGTGATCAAGCAACTACCTGTTCTGCTGACTTCCACCTTATCTTTAGGGTCTCAGTCCCAGAACCAGTGTCCCACTTCCATCTCCAGTTTCTGGTCAAGCAACGCCTGACCCAGAGAAAGGATCCTGGCAGGCATCCCTTACTAAATGCCCTGAAATAGGTTTCCCCGCACATGCTTCAACTAGGCTTGCACACTTGCCCAGCCAGGCATCCCAGACTCAGGCTGGACACATTCCTTAACTAGAGGTGGGGGTGGGAGGCTAGAGGGCAGAACCAACAATGCCCCTCCTACATAAGGAGAGAAGCTCAGAACTGGGGCCAAGCAGGGCTGCAGCAGGCAACAGGCTTCCAGTGGGGTCTGAGGAGGAAACTCCTCTAGAACTAGATGATCTGAGTTCAAATTTGGTCTCTGAAGGAGCCAGGGACCCCCTGCATGCACCACCATCCCATTTTGTTAGGTAAGGAAAGCTGGACCAGGAACATGCAGGGCCTAGTACCAGGCTGCCAGGGTTGGGCTTAGTCTGTTCATCTCTCAGGCATGGGGGTCAGAGGAGGTGCGGTAAGCTCAACCTGCCCAGGTCAGTCTCTGTCCCCCTCAAAGCAGGAAGTGTCATTTGAGATTTGCCAAGGCTAGTACCATCCACACAGAGTGGACAAGACAGATACACTTGCTCGCGGGGAGGGGGGATTTCCGAAAGTGGGTGTTGGCACTGACTAAAGCACCCTCAGCCGCCTCAAGCTCTTTTTGTACAGTCAGACGACTACATGCCCCAGTCAGTCAGCACTGGGGCCACATGATTGAGAGGTGCCAAATGCCACCTCGTCCTCAGTGTCTTCCCTGGCCACCTAGGGGAAGAGCTCCAATGCCAGGTCCTTCGCGGGCGGGGCCCTCGACAGGGAAATCTTTGCCAAAGAGGAGTGATCCTGGGTTCCACGCTGGCGGCCAGTGCCTGGGCGCGCAGCCGTAGACTCGGCGCTGCCCACCCCGCGCATCCCGGGCGGGGCGCGGCCGCAGATAGTCCGCCTCCCTTCCACCGTCTCGGCGCCAGCCCGCAGCGGCCATGGGGGCGCGGCTGGGGCGGCGGGCAAGGGCAGCGGCCGGCTCTGATGCCCCTGCAGCGGCGGGCGCTGGGCCCGCGCCCTACGAGCGCAGGGTGCGCTGGCTGCGAGAGATCCAGTCCACGCTCCGCGAGCGGCGGCCGGAGCGTGCTCGGCAGCTTCTGCGCCTCCTGCGCCAGGCGAGAGAAAAGAGGGGCAGCCCGGGATTGGGGGTCAGGGAGGAGCTGGGGGCTTCGGGCGGGGGAGGGGGGAGGGGAGGTGGATTCCTAGCGTGCACGGTAGGTTTTTTCAGACGTTGAGGTTTGTGCGTGGAGGGAGGGCGTGGATTAAAGTGGCCAGGTGGGGCTGGGGGATTGCTCACCAGAGATGAGGCTGGTGTGTTGGGGCACTGGGATTTGAAATCTGTTGTGTTGTGTGTGTTGAGGGATCACCAGTCTGGAGCTAAGAGCCCGTGTTTGGACGTCTCAAGAGTTGGAGTGGGTGAGGATAGGGCATCTCATGCGGAAGGACAATGGGAAGAGCGCTGCTCTCCATTCTGCAGGAAGAAAGGGCCCTGGGAGGCTCAGCTTAAATGGCCTGCGGGTGCGCCAGGAGACAGACATCATGACAGCCCAGACAAAGCCACAGAGCACACACCAGCCATTCTAACAGGCAGCTTGAACCCACTGAGAATACACAACCACATCTGTACATGACAGTGCCATATCTGGGCCCTTGGGAGACACATTTGGTACCCTAGCCAAAGATCTTGAGCCCTGAGTTGCCTAAGGAGACAGGGATGCCTGTCCTAGCACTACCCCTGGGCAAATCACTTCCCATTCAGCCTCCTCACCCCCGTGCAATAGCTGCTGCCCCCACCATGAAGTTAGATGCTTAGAGCTGGAGAAACAGAAGTGATGAGCCAGGACCCAGATGGAAAACTGACAGAAGGGGTCTAGGGATGTAGGTCAGTGTTAGAACATTGGAGAGACCTGAGCTCTATCTATCCTAGCATGAGAGAGAGGAGAGAGGAAAGAGGTGGGGAGAGAGGAAGGAAGGAAGGAAGGAAGGAAGGAAGGAAGACCTAGTATCGTGGTTCTCGCCTGTACTCCCAGCACTTGGTAGATGGAGGCAGGAGATCAGGAGTTCAAGGTCATCCTCAGCTACATAGCAAGTTCAGGACCAACTTATAATGGGGGGGGGGGTAGAATCTCAGAGGTGATCCAGGGTCAGACACTTCCCCCACCACTGGGTGCCCTCCCTGTAGACTCAACAGTCTGGAAAAGTGGAGCTGTCACTTTAAGAGGCATTGACCAGGCCAGTGGAAGGTAGTCTGCTATCTGGGTCTGTCCAGACTCATCAGACTCCTTCTTTCTGGATCCTCCCCACCTTGCTGGCATCCGTGGCTTGAACCATGTTGAAAATACAAACAGGAGAGCAACCGCCAAGCAGCACCCAGCCAGGCATATTGCCTAGAAATACAGATCACTATCTGGGATGGTGGAGCTGAAAGTCACTGGCTTGCATTCCCTGGAAGCATCTGGGAGGGGATCAACCTCAGAGAGCAGCTAAGTCCCCTCCTTATGTCCTAGAAGTTGAGATTCGAGGCATATTCAGGACCCTATCCTGTCCCATAAGCTTCAGAAAGTCTGTAATTGCCCATTGTGTGCCTGCTGCCTAGCCTGACTTCCTGTGTGCTCAGGACAGCCCAGGGCATATCCTTCTCTGGCTAAGGAGTTAGAAGATGGCACATGGAGGCTAGGTGCTTGTAGGCTGCCTGCGTATTTTCTAAAACACCTTTTGCATGAATGCCATCAATCTCAGTATACAGGAGGCTGAGACAAGTAGATCCCTGAGTACCAAGCCAGCTTTAGCAAGTTCCAGGCCAGTTGGGGCTACATAGTGAAGCTTTGTCTTGAAAAAATAAAAACAAATCAATATTCTCAGCCTTACATCCTGCCTATAGATGTAGATTGGAAAAGGCCAGGGGATGAAGGGCCAGGACCCTGACCCTGAGATCTGATTAAAGAGAAGAAGGCTGGTAGGCTGGGAAGGGGTGATGGCCAAGCCCAGGGAGTCATGACTCTGCACTTTCTGTGTCTCTGATGGTATAGCTCTAGTGTTTAGTCTCCTCTAATGGAATGAAGGGTAAGGATCATGTGTGTTTCATAGAGTGGCCCCTGAGCCCAGGGATGAATGTGGAAGGCTGGGAGTCCTGAGCAAAGGTGACTAGGTATGAGGTCTGAACCTTGGCATCAGCAATGGGAGAACAGAGACTCATCTGGTGAGCTGGGGATAGAGGGAAAGGATGCTAAGTGAGCCCTACAGAGGAGGACATGGTGGGGTCCCCTACTGCACTCTGGAAAGGGACACAAAGCCAGCAAGTGAGCAGGCTGAGTTTGAGCTGCTTTGAAGAACATGATCTGGGGAAAGGCTCGCTCCTAGAGGAAAAAAGATGGCACAATTCAAGAGACCTCTGGAGTAGGAGGGAAACAAAGGACCCAAAAGGAGTGCTAGGGACTTCAGCGTTCAAGGTTATTAGATGAGTAAGCTGTCACAGCAAGACATCACACACCCAACAAGGAGCCTGAGTAACCATCTCTCTCTCTCTCTCTCTCTCTCACACACACACACACACACACACTCACTCATACTCGCACACACGCACACAGACATACACACACACACATATATACACACATAAACACATACGCATACACACACACACCTTACCATGCCCCCTCTCTCTAGACACTTGACTGCCACCATATGTGGAGAGATTCAACCAAGTCAGGGGGGTGGGGAGAAGGTTTTAGAAACAAGTGAAGCAGTAAAGTGTGTATCTTCTGCCTGGTTGGGAGAAGGAAAGCCCTGACCCCCCACTTACTCAACCATTGCTTTACCACCCATAGGACCTGGGCCTTGAAGGGAACCTCCTCAGTGACATCCTCTACAGGAATGTGGCTTTGCTTAACTTGGTGGACCCCATCTCCCATGACTTGCTGGTGAACCTGGCCCGGGACCTGCAGTGCCCCAAGAAGGTGAGGTCAGCAGGCATAGGCCGGGGAACTTGGCTTCTCATGCTTGCTTAGGCTTTAGGCTAGTAACTATTACTCTTCAAGAACAGCTTCAGGAGCAGGTGTGAGCTGTTTCACTGAGCCCCAAAACCATGTTCCTAGGTAGACCCCCACCTGAGCAGAAGACCTGTAGGGACTCAGAACATAGCCTGTCTTAACACATGCATTGTCATAGACATATATTCTTGTTCCTGTCTCAGAAGAGAGCTACCATAGGCTGAGGACGTTGGTCTCTTTCCTATTTGGACACCTTTGGGGAAGGGGGCTCACAATCCCTTCCTTTGCTCCTTGGGTCACAAACAAGTCCTATGACATGCTAAGTTGGAGCCTGCTACCTGCATTCTCTACCTCCTTGGACCCTGTTCTGACAATGCCTACAGATGTCTGACTGTGGACATAATCACAGCACTGCCTATGAGTTCCCAAGACTTTTAAACACAACAAACCACCCCCATATGAAATAAGGGGGTCCACTGTCAGCTTGGTACTCAGCTGGCTAGTCCACAGCCATCCCAGTAGCCACCTAATTGGCAGTTACTCTCTCTCTCTCTCTCTCTCTCTCTCTCTCTGTGTGTGTGTGTGTGTGTGTGTGTGTTGCAAGCTCTGGGGACTGCTTTAAAGGAATGTTCTGTGTATGGAACGTGCTCAGTGCCAGCTGTGTGGAAAGCATACCTTGTGTGCCCCAGAGCTGGGTCTCTTTGGGGATACAATTAGGACCGAGAGAACCATGTGGTGCAGTAAAACATCAAACCCCGGCCCTGTCAGCCCAGACCCAGGCCCCATAGGCGCAGCATAGCTTGGAGAATGAGAGGAAGAACATGCTGACCTGGCTCGTTCCTATTCTCTGGGACTGGCGTCTCTGGAATAGGGCTCCCTCAAGGGGCCTGGTGTGGCCTCTTCCTTGTGGCAAGTCCCCTGGGGGTGTTGAGGGTGGCAAGCTGCCGGCTGATAGCTTGAGCTACTGGCCTTAGGCCTGAGGACAGGGAACAAGGGCTCATTGTCTGGGCTTCCTCCCACCGGGCACTGCGGGCCTCAGACTAGCCTGTCCAGCCCCCAGCAGGCAGCCTCTCCTGGCGGTGAGCCAGGCTACAGCCAGGGCAGAATGGAAGGGGCTCAGGCTCATCCTCACCATGATCTCTTCCCCACCCCCACCCCCACCCCCGCCCCCACCCCCTGTAGGACCATGAGCCCTGGAAGTCTTCTGATAAGATCTGTAGGCAGCTCATCTACCACCTCACCCCTCACTCCAAGCGAAAGCCCCACCGGAAAACCCAGAACAGGTAAGGAGAGCCCAGCCACACAGCCCTTGTGCCCTGTCTTTCAGGGCCCCTTCTCTGAGAATTAAGTGCACAAAAATCTTGCTCTGTTACTCCCTTGCCTTCCTTTATATTAAGGCTCCAGCCCTGGCAACCACCCTGGCCCACAGCAGCAATACTCCTAACCCAAGCTACATGTTCCATATGAGTTGCTTCCCATTTCTTCCAGTGATACCTCTTGCCAGTCCCTGGTCACTCCATCCCTGTCCCTTTCCAGGACCTGTGCCTCCTTGGGTCGTAGGTACATCAGGTAAAATTTTCATAAGGACAGATTCTGAGTCTCCCATTTCACAGGGAGGAACACTGAGATAGGAGAGGGAAAGTAGCTTGCCTAAGGCCATTCCCTTCCTGCAGCCTTTGGGAACTTATCAGCTCCAGGCTTCCTGATGCATAGACTTCCACAGCATCTTGATAGCTTGTTCTGCTTGTGGTTCCCTGTTTTGGGGACCTCATGACACAATCTTAGCACAGGACCAAAGGCCTACAACCACAGCTGGGAATTGACCTGAGCTCTATTTATCCTCCACCCTGTTCCATTCTTACACCTTGTGACCCAAGGTGAACCCAGAACCCATGTGACTGTTTCCTGCCACAGCAGATGGGCCCCTGGCAATGTTCTCAGTGTTCTTAGTAACCTGTCTTCCTAGAGGGCTGTGGACAAAGGACAGGAGAGAAAGCAAAGTGTGCCAGGGGCCCTGGACGACATTCCCCCAGTCTCCAAGTGCCTCTTTCAGCTTAACACAGGGGGCCTCCCCTAGTAATCCCTTAGCCCCCTTTACTATCCTGGGCCTGTCCCATCTCTAGACCCCCAAACACTGAGAGGACCAGAATGATACCATATCCACTCATGGCAAAGTTTTTTTCATTATCATAAAGGATGCTGCTTGTAGAGAGGCACGGGAAGAACTGTAGACTTAGGGGTCAGGGCACTGTGATATAGAGCCCTGGTCCTCACTTAGTGATGATATACAGCCAAAGGACTCTTTTCACTTCCCTTAGAGCTTTTGTAGAATGGACTATCACCTATAAACCCCGGGACAGTCATGGAAATAAATAACATTAACAGGTGCACAAAGCACAATGATAACAGTCCACACATAGAGCCTTCATCATGTGTATAATCCTCATCACAGCCATGCCCCATTTCACCAGAGGGGGATATGGGCTCAGAGATATTACCAGCATTGCCTTTGGCCACCAGCTTTAAAACAATGGCTTAAAAGTGATTTCCTTATTTTTAGTTTGTAAGTGTATGGGTGTTTCCCTGCATGCATGTATGCGCACTGTGCATGTACTTGATGCCTGAAAAGACCAGAGGGTGTTGAATTTCTTGGCACTGTAGTCACAGACAATTGTTAGTCAGCATGTAGGTGCTAAGAACTGAACTTGGGTCCCCTGAAAAAGCAGCAAGTACTCTTGAGGGCTGAGCCATCTCTTCAGGCCCAGAAATGGCATTTTAAACCAGGCTTTGCCAGGCCAGAGGACCTAGGTTGCCCTTGGTGGGTAACTGCCTGCTGGGTGGGTGGAGTCTTGCCTGGTCTCTGGTTCAGTGCATCCACCTGCATTCTTCCATAGCCTCAAGAGCAGCCTCCAGAAGACTCTGCTGGTAGGGGAGACTGTGGACCTTTCTGGCATCCCGCTATCTGCTCGAGATGTGCAACACATAACACGCTACCTGGGCAGCCATGGTGTTGAGCTGGTGGTCCTAGACCTGAGCTTCACGGAGCTGAGCGATGAGCTGCTGCACCTGCTGCTGCCCAGCCTTTGGGCTCTGCCCCGCCTCACCCAGCTGTTGCTTAATGGCAACCGACTGACGAGAGCTGCTGCCCGTGAGCTCACGGAGGCTATCAAGGACTCCGCCAAGTTCCCGGTGTTGGCCTGGGTAGATCTGGGTAACAATGTGGATGTGGCCTCACTTCCCCAGCCCCTGCTGGTAGGCCTTCGACGGCGACTGAGTCAGCACACTACCCTCCCCACCATTTATGAGGGTCTGGACCTTGAGCCTGGGGGTGGCATGGCTGAGACCACTGCTGTTGTCTCCACCTGGGGCTCTGCAGCCCCTGAGCCAGGACCAGAGCCTCAGGGCTGTTGTGCTAGGTGACTAACTACTGGTCTGGTTCATTGCTACTGACTGGGGTGTCTTAAGAACGAGGCATTGGGGGCCCACAATGTCCCACTGAGAGTCAGCACAAATGTTCAACTTGGGGTGAAATGGGTGGAAGAAGGGTTTTGTGGAAGACAGGCCAGCCAGCCCAGGCTAGGGGCCCCATCTCACCCAGCAAAGAGGGGCACCAGTATTCACAGCCTAGACCTTCCAGGAAAGGATGGTGGCCTTTGCCTCAAGCTTCATGTACTCCGGACTTCAGACTCATTGAGCTCAGGCTTGCTACAGAGGTAGGAAAACCCCATCTGCCGAGAGTGGGTAGATGGATCAGAGCCAGTTATAGCCATGCTGATGTCCCCTTAGTGTTCGTTGGGTTCAGGGGAGTAGGTTGGGAGTCACAGACAGACAGAGTTCTGCATGGAGCCCTGTAGCAAGTGCAATGAGGGCCCTTCAGTGTGCATTGGGCTGGGAACAGGGCTTCACACACTAAAGGCAAAGCCACAATGGAGCTGAGGGTGCTGACTCTATGTCCCCAACAGGGCACAGCACTGCTCTGGTGCCCAGGCCTCCTGCATGGGGTGAGGAGATATGGCTGGCTAGAGATGAGCTATAGTGTTTCCTCTAGCTCTGGGGTCTCACATAACATGTAAGGAAGGGGTGGAGGAGGATACAGCTAGCACCAGGAGTTCTCAGGGCAGAACAGATCTAAGGGGATCTCAATGGGGAGTTACTGGCTTCCTTTTCCAAATCTCCTAAGGTGGGTTCCCAACGTCTGGTCACCTTCACTGCCCCATTTAGGAGACTAAAGTTTTCAGCTCAACAAGTAGACACACAGAGAATGTGGGAAAGGAACTCAGAGAAGCTCTGGTTGGGGAAGCCAGTGGCCTAAGGCCCCTGTGTAGAGCCAAGACTTAAGGCCCGGTGACAGTGGAGAGACCCAGTAACAGAGGATATCCTCAGGGTCAAGGTAAAGGTGGGGGTAGGGAGAGTTGTATGCTGGACCCATGTGCCCAGAGCCCACCAGCTCTGATTCACCCGCCTCCCTGTCCGTCTCCAAGTGGACAGTACACTTAGCTCCCCCAAAACATCAATTCCAGCATTTCCCCAAACCAGTGGCCAAGAAGAAAGTGGGCTGGATTATGTCACTCCCAGGCCTGAGACAGGTCCGGTGAAGCAAAGGATTTCACTCATGCTCTACTGCTTTAGACAACTGCTAATCAAGGGACAGTGAGAAGAATGCAGGCCTCTGGCTTTACTCTCCACTTACCGGGGGAACCTGGCTAGGTCCTCTACTTCTTCGGGCCTGGGACCCAACTTCCTTCTCTCTGTTAAACAGAACTTGCTGTACTGGACCCTGGCACTCATCTAGAGGCACTAACCTCACCCTCTGCCGCTCCCCCACCCCTGCTTGTTTTAAAGACATGGCCTTACTCACCCAGGACAAGGGTTTGGGCTTTCTGGAGCCAGGCAAAGCCGAGTGGAGTACGGGCCAGCGGAGAAGGGAGGGAGGGCCAATTTTGGACCCAGCAGACTGATAACCCTGTCACATGCCTGGGGAGCTGAGTTTTGTAACTCCTTCCTGAATGACAGCAGAGTTCAGGGTCTCCCCTGGCCTTCTTACTCTCCCCCACAGCTGGCACAAAGCCAGCCCACAGACCTTTAGATGTCACCATATGCAGCGAGGTTCCTCCTAGGGTGATATGTGAGGACTGTATCCAGGTGTCCCAGGCAGTGTCCAGGCAAATCCAGGTGGCAGCAGATGGTCTCAAATTCTCCACCTTTTTGAGGCATGTGATGCAATAGCTGAGCCAGTTCCTGGGACGGCTTAGGAGATGTGGGCAAAGTTGGCCTTGCTGCTTAAGTGGCCCTGGCCCTTCACGGAGTTCTCATGACTAACCAGCAGGGAGATTCCATGGTCAGGAACAGAGATTTCCAGAAGTGAGGGCTGTGTCTTGTCTTTGTGCTACTGTAACAGAACACCACATCCTGGTAATTTATAAACAACAAAAGTTTACGAAGCTCATGGTTCCAAAAGCTGAGAAGTCAGACAGAAGGAGTACATCTGGTGAGGGATTTCTTGCTGTGTCACAGTCCTGGAAAGCATGGAAGGGGCCCCACTGTGGCAATATGGACTTCCATGCATGAGGGCAGAGCCCTGCAGACCTAACCACTCTTTAAATCATATCTCTTACCTGTTAGGTATTCAATGCATGCGTTCTATGGGAGTTTTCAAGCCTGTGTAGTATGCTCCACTCAGCTTGGTGGTAAAGAGAACATTGACCAGGAGAGAAGAAGCACATGGAGCCTTGCTTGGGTGCCAACTTGAAACCCATCCACGGTCTAGACCCATCACTTCCTATCAGTGTGGTCCATTTGGGAACAAAGTATGAAAGTCCTGCTTTAGTGAGGAGGAAATGAGGTTTGGAAAGAGCGTGCCACATGAGGGGTACAGGCCAGCATGCTGTAGTATCAGGGAGTCCCCAGGCTCTTTGTGTGGTGAGGTTTGGCAAGAGCTAGGCTGAAAACACACCTATAATTTATCTTCTATCTATCTATCTTTCTTTCTATCTATCTATCTATCTATCTATCTATCTATCTATCTAATCTATCTATCTATATCAACTATCTACTATCTTCTATCTCTGTCTATTATCCATCCATCCATTCATCTATCATTGGTCTGTCTGTCTGTTTTAGCACTGAGAATTGAACTCTGGCCCTGCAGCACACTAGGCAAGAGCTTTCTCACTTCACTATATCCCAACTTTCCATTTATTTACTTACTTATGTAGCCAGAGTCTTGTGCTGTAGCTTATGCTGGGCCTTAACTTTCAACCGTCCTGCATCCACCTTCTGAGTGCTGGAATGACAAGCCTGTGCCACTGCTGCCTAGCACAATCTTTCTGAGAATCCAGAACCACAGGCAACTGGTGCCTGTTGCACCAAGGTTTTCTCTGGGTGGAAAGGGAAAGCATACTTGTCCTGGGAGATTGTTGCCAGTCACCAGCACCACTCCTGTCATCTCTACAAACAGAGACCTCCAGTATTTTCTTCTGCACACTTTTTGTTTTTTTGAAAACAGAAATTTATTTAAAAAGCAAGCCATTGTGAGCTGGGTGTGGCGAACTGGTGAGCAGCACATGCCTGTAGGCCAGCCTTGGCTATGTATATGTATGCATAATATTGCAACATCATAAAGAGAACACACTGTGACAAGTTTAAAGTGTGCAGCATAGTTTTGTCACATTTACACATTCATGTTTACCATGGCAGTAAATGTGTCTGTCACCCCCAAGCCTGCTGTGTTCTCTGCTGACCACCCTCCTCCTTCCACCCTGACCTCTCTTAAAAACTATTGGTTTGTTTTGCCCCATAAATTACTTTCCACTTTCTAGATTTAGACCAGTTCATGGGATCTTACAAATGTATTTTACACACACACACACACACACACACACACGCATAATTATTTTGAAACTCACCTATATTATTGCATATATCAAGAATTGCTTTTTGAATAGTATTTCATGGGTGTACTGCAATTTATCCATGAACCTGTTGATGGATATTTGGTTGTTTCTAGGTTCTGGCTATGACAGACAAGGCTGCTATGAAAATTCATGACTAGTTACGGCATGAGCATTTCATTTCTCTTGAGTAAGAACCTGGGTATGTATATTAATTAGTCTTCCATTGCTAGGAGGAAATGCCTAAGAAAAACAACTTAGGAGAAGAATTTGCTTTGGCTTGTTATTTCAGGGGTGTCTCTCCACGTTTACTTTGTCCTTTGGCTCCACACTTTTGGGCCTGAGAGAAGGCTAAACATGTTCAAGGAAAGCCATTCACCTTGTGGCTGCTAGAAAAGAGAGAAAAGGTGGGGGCAGAAAAAGACGGCCACCTACTTCCTCCAATAACCCCTCCAATTCTAAACCCAGTCCCCTCTGTAGACCACCACCAGCTAGGAATCAAGCAATCAGTATATCATCCTTTGGCGGCTACCATTCGTATCGTGGCCATCTAGAGAATGCATAGGCCATATGGTAGGTATCTCTAACACTTTAAGAAAGGGTCACACTGATTTTCAAGGCCTATATCTAATTTCACAGTCTTGCCAGTAGTGTACAGGATTTCAGGTCCTCCTATGTATACTTGCTAACTGAAAACAATGGTAATTATTAGTGTGGTGTGTAGGGGTGGGCAGGTACATGCCCCATGGCACACATGTGGGGGTCAGAAGACAACTATATGGGCTTAGTCTCCTCCTTCCTTATCTACTTGGCTCCAGGAATTACATTCAACTCAGGTTACCAGGCTTGCACAGCAAGAGCCTTTACCCACTGAGCCATCTTGCTGGTCCTATGGATTTTAATTTAATTTTACTATTATCTGAGAATGCAGTGTGGCTCTGTACTGTTTGGATTTTTTGATAAGTTTTCCAGCTCACCATATGGCCAATACTGGTAAATGTGTGTACTTATAAAGATCACATATTCCATTGCTGCTGGGTATAAGTGTTAAAGTCGGGGTGATTCATAGCATTGTTTAAGTTTAAGCTAAACTTGCTGACTTTCTCCCTATTTGATCTGTTGGGTGGGAACACCAAAGTCTCTGATCATAAGTGTGAGTTTGTTTATTTCTTACTGATGTTCTACCACTTTTTTGCTTTGTATGTTCTGAAGATTTATTACTGGGAGCATAAACATTTAAGTCTGCCTTGGGCCCTTGATTGACTGACTGCCCTGTTATCATCATGGAAGGACTCTTATCATATCCTGGAGATATTCCTTCTTCTGAAATGTGCCTAACTGATACTAATTAGTCACATGATGCTTAACAATCAAAGCTAGATTATTATTAATGGCTAGGTTTTATATCAATTTGATACAAGCTAGAGTCATTTGGGAAGAGGGAGTCAGTTAAGAAAATGTGCCCACTAGATTGACCCATACACAAGACTGTGGTATGTTTTGTTAATTCGTGATTGTTGGGGAAGGGTCATGCCCATTGTGGGTGGGGCCATCCCTGGGCTGGTGGTCCTGGGTTCTATAAAAAAACAGGCTGAGCAAGCCATGAGGAGGAAGCCAGTAAGTAGCATCCTTCCATGGTTTCTGTGTCCACTCCTGTCTCCAGATTCCTGTCCTAACTTCCCTCAGGAATGGACTGTGATGTGGAAATGTAAGATGTAATAAACCCTTACTTCTCCAAGTTGCCTTTGGTTGTGGTGTTTTATTACAGCAAGAGAAAAATCTAAGACAAATAGTATATATATATATATATATATATATATATATATATATATATATACACACACACACACATATACATATATACATATATGTATATGTATATATTTTTTCATCTTTTTATTTTAAAGATTTATTTTTATTACTTTTAAGTATGTGTGTGTGTGTGTGTGTGTGTGTGTGTGTGTGTTTGTGTGTGTGTTACTGCATCCCTTTGGAGATCTAGTTACAGATGACTGTAACCCACCAAATGTGGGTGCTCAGGTCCTCT